GGGTAGCCCAAGAGAGTTTCTGATGGCAGGGGTATGATCAGATTTCAGTTGTCAGCCTGATATTCAAGCTGTTATGTCAGCCAGAGGCATCCCATTATTCCTAAAATGCGATGCCGTTGGTGTTCTGAGCTGCAGGTTTGAGCCACCAAGACTTTTTGTCTTCACAAGCCTTTCTACTGCTGTTAAGTGACTTTTGTGGATAGTGAAGTCAAACCAAGTGCCATCTTGGGTCTTTTCTGAAGAAACAAGGAAGGCAGCGTTTATTGGTTGCAGGTGTTTCAACAGTGGTGTATTTAAAATAAAACCTGTCTTTCTCCACAGTTGTCTTCAATTCATTCAGTTCATTCAGTGTTCATAATTTTTTAGAAGTTGAATATTAAATCCTGCTTTTATACCACCCGTGGAATGTTTAGCTGAGTGTTGTTTTCTGTAACGGAAAAAGATGCAAATGTTACTATGACTGAAATACTCTATTTTTTTGATGGCTTTGTAGTTTATGGTTGCAATCCAGATTCAACAAAGGAACTCCTTCATTTTACTGCATAGGTATCATTTCCTGAGTTTTATTTTGGTGAGGACATTCTTAATAAATGCAGGCAGCATAAGTGCTAGGTGGTAACACAACCTTTGACTTCTTTGTTGTAGTTTTTGATTGTAAAAAACAAGTCTGTGAATGAGAAATTCTTCATACTTTTGAAAAGCTAAAAGCTGAGCCACTTGCCATCTTGGCTTTGTGATATGAATATACTCTCTATCAAATTTAATTCTCTAGGATTATAGCTGAAAAATGAGGTATTGTCTTGCTGTCTTTTCCCCAGTGGTATTTGTCTAACAGTGTTTGTGTTTGTCATCTTCCCATTTTACACCTACTGGCATATTGACTTAGAAACCTTGAGGCCTGATCACACAATCTTTGTGTGTCTGTAAGTCCCCAAGGCTTGTGTTGTCCTTCTACATACACTAAGCCAGAGCAGTAGTTTACGATTTCACATTCAGTACTGTAGTTGAGTGTCCAGAGGTGTAACCGCAGCCATAATTCTAAAAGGCTAACTGGATAAATGCTCCTAAACATCCTGTTAAGAAATCCTAAGCAGGGATTCAAATGAAACTTACTTTTTTTTCTTTTCTTTCTGTCTTCCCCCTCCCCTTCTTTGGTTTTCATAGAATGGAGCTGTTTTTTCAAAAATCAGAGGAAGCCAGTCAGGGCAAGACAGCACTAGATGGGTATGTACAATGTCATTGGTTCCTATGGTTCTTCTGCAAGTCTCAGAGAACTCACACAGAATTGCTGACTCAGCGTCCAGTTTTCTTTCCTCTTCACTGGGAATTTTCTAGTATTAAGGACTGAGAGATACTTTCATCCCTGAGTAAAGTTATGAAGCGTTCCAAAACATCAGTTTAAAAAGGAGTTGAGAAACCGTTACAGGTTAGCAGCCTTTTCCTGTGCGGTCCTTTGTAGTGCTGTTAATATTTTAAGAAGGTAAACTTGTTCTTTCTGGTATAGGCTTCTGTGTTCCTTTGGACTGAATATTGGAAAGATCGGCTGACTTGACGTGCAGCTTGTTTGATAGTAGCACGGTAAAAGAATTGGCTGTAGGTCTCAAGTCCAGAATATCTTTTTGCTCACTGCAGTTGTTTAACCTGCTGCTCAGTGTTTTGTGTTTTATGTGACCTTGCTTACGCTGGGTCACATAAAGTTCTTCACAAGCAGGAAACTTACTTTTTAGCATTCACCAGTTGCTGTATTCCAGTGTTCAGGAGAAGTGTTAGGAGTACTGTTAGATACTTGAAATGGGATATTCTTTTTTGTGTCGTCCTTCAGGTTTGCAAGATTGAGTGCAACCACAACATCATGTTTGTCTCAGGGAATCAGAAGCTCCATTATAATATTTGTGGTTAGCATTTGTTTGGAAACACTTTTCAGATGTCTTTTGTTAACAGATCTCCCAGCGGGAAGACAGCACAGATGGTTAAAGAGAATAGTGTGCTGGGAGCTGGCTGCCTTTCACTTTGGATGCAATATGAGAATGTTGCTGTTTAGCAAAATAGCCATTTAAATGCCTTATTTCTATTGTGAAGGAAGGAAGGTAGTCTGATTAAGAGCTGTGTTTGGGAGTAGTGCAGACTGACTGCTTGCTTGCACCAGGAACATCTCACTGTGCTTGGAGGTGGCACCCCTTGAAACTACCTACTAGGTGTTAGATGACTTGGTCACAGGGAGTTTCCAATCTGCCAGACTGTGGACAGAGTTCTCATTAAGCTTTTAACTTGATCTTACAGGATCGTTAGTAACAAAGCAGAATGCTCCATGGTCCTGCCAGGGACCTGTTGCACTCCAAGCTTTCTTCAGGGTCCCTGCATGATGAGTCCAAAACACTCTTATTTGAATGTGTTTCTCTTAGCTGCTTGACATCATCACCATCTCTTTCTACTGGCTATGTAAGTTTCAGCTGAAAGCATCTGTTTCCCCAGAGAAGTGATAGAGGAAAAAAGAGGAGATATTTTTGCACAGACTTGCTTCCTGTTCATCAGCCTGATCTGCTTGTTTTAGTTATAGAAATAATGCTGGCACGTCACTTAACTTTTCAGCTCCACATAGCTGAAATCATTAAGAGGATGGCCTGTACAGCACATGTAGTACTCCTGCCTAAATTGTGATTGTTAATCCACGTTTTTACATCTCTCTGAAGCCAAAGCCCCATGTCAGAGTTGGAGTTTAGCCTGTGGAGTCTTGTTGAACAGACTCAGCAGATGGACAGGAGGATGGTTAGAGCTTCAGTTAGAAAGCCAGGGTCAACTTGCGGGACAGGTAGCTTGGGCAGTAGGCCATTGTTTTCTCTTACCACACCTCTTCTAGAAACCTTGAGATGTGACAGACATACAGCCTGGCAGTGCTGTTATAAGCAAATAGTTTTTTCTCATTAGAATGGTACTTTACATCATTAAATTTATCTGTTACAGTTACATACATTTTTAATAGCAGTGTGGCTATGATTTCTGTAAATCTTCTGTATGCCATGGACATTAAAATGTACTTGATCAAAATTCTCCACTGAGTCAAGTTAATAAATCCTCTCACCAGGCACAAGGCCTTCTTGCCATAGCTTTTAACCTCTTATGCAGTGTTGGCATGGTTGAGTGCCTTGGGTATGCTAGTATCCAAAGACTGGGTGACACTCACTTCTGACTCTCTCACTGAATCACCCTCTGTATACATACAGCAGGCATCATGCCTGAGGTTTGGGGATACCGTTTGGGAGTGGGTCAGAAGCCTTGCTGAAGTCAAGGTGTGAACAGTGTCCATTGTTCTCACCTTGTCCACAGGCTTCTTCAAAGGCAGTTGCTGTGATTACATGCCGTTTGCCTTTGGCTGGCTTTTCCAATCACATTCTTGTCCTTTGTGTGCTTGGATGAGACTTTGCAGGAGCTTTTACTGCAGAAGCTTCCTGTGCACTGAGACAAAGGTGGCCACAGTTTCCCAGATCCTCCTTTTTGAAATTGACATGAGATTTGCCTTTTCTCAGACTTGAGGAACAGTTCGTGACCACCATGGCCTTTCAAGATGTTGCAGAGCAGCCTTAGAATTACATCAGTGAGTTCCCTCAGCACCCACACATGCATCATGTCTCATCCTGTAAGCTCTAGTTTATTCAAGAGTTTAGCCTAGAGTCTGTTCTTAAGTCTAGCACTCTAGAGTTGGAGTGCTTTAACTTGTGGAAAATTCTAATTGAAGCTGAAGGATTTTTCCTCTAGTCTTAGAGACCTGGAAAGCCTGAGGGCAGCCTCTTCTTCTGACAGAGAAAATTTTCATTTCCACAAATGGCTGTGGAAGTAAAGTGCATGCTCAGAAAATCTATGGAGAGATAAGATTTCCTTCTGTCAGTGTGGTTTTTATTTTCTTCTGTCAAAGAGATTTAATCTATTAATCTTTGTGTGCTTGAAGATGGTGCTTCTAACCTCTAATTTTATCCACTGTTGAACAGCATGTGGTTAGGAAGTTCCTAGACTTAATATCCAGTCACAATATACCAGTGTATTTGATCGATCCTTTGATTCTGGGACTGGTTGATAAAGACATTGAACAGATCAGAAGTTCTCCTGATGGTCCTAGTCCAGAATGCAAGTACTTCTGCGCTCCAAGAGACTTTACAACATTTGCACTACTGGACAAAACGTGGAAACATGAAGTAAGTGCCTTTTCTTCACTTGACATTTGTGTATTATAGTGCATTCATCTGTTGTATGATTTTGTGACATAATGCTTTCATGTTTGTATTAAGACCTCTGAATTAATTGTGTGGAAATCTTGTAAAGGTAGAGGAAACTTTTTTTTTAAAGTAAAAGTCATTTATAGATAACAAAGTTTTTAGAAGTTGTCTGCAATATTTGTAGGCACTTGTAGTAAGAAGCCACGCCAAAAAGAAAAAATAAAGTCGTCCATTAGGAAGAAGGAAAATCTTGAGCCTGTTAATGTAGGTACAGTCGTAATATGCTTTGAGTTTGGCGGGTCCATCAAGGAGGAAATGCAAGTATTGATGTGACAAGACTGGAAAGATTATCATAGTCTTCTGGTTTACATTTGGTTTAGTATATCTTTGTACTTAACACCATTTTATTTTGTCAATTAGTGTATTGGTATCTGTGCTTTTCTTTGATACCCTGAGATTTTTAAATAGGTGTGTTAAAAATAGAGGTGTAGCATGTGATGAAAGACAAGATGGAATCCAAGATTATTTAATCAATTAGGTGTAATCTGGAAACAGATTAATTTGTACAGGCTGAAGATACCAGTAACAAACAGCTTTTTCATCTTCTTTTTATTTGTTTGTGTGGTTTTTTTTTCTTCAGAAAACACAGGAGACATTAAAATGGTCTATGACTATTTTACTGAAGGAGTCCCACTCAAGGGTGGTGGCACTCTGGATCTGATCAGACAGTTGTTTTACCCATAGCTGTAAAGGAATTGAGGAAACTGAGAATAAGGTTGTATGGCAGCACGCTAATATAAAAACATCTCTGCATTCCTTTGTGGCTCATTTACAGTATCTGTAGCATCCAGAGGAGAAGCTGATATGCCTGTATAAAACACCTCAAGGCGGGTAATCGAAAGGGTCTTCAGATGCTGATTGGTTCTTTCCTTATCAGCCAGAATTTCATTCCCTTTTTCTGTGGAAATATGAAAGCCTGTCACATAGTGCAGCGTCTGGTGAGATTTAGACAAATATTTATATATATCATAAAAGAGGATTTTGCAGTAATCATTTTTGTATTAGTGGTACCATTATTCAAGAACTTAAGAATGTCAAGTTTGGCACAAGAATAACTTTAGAGAACAGTTTGAAGATTCAGAGAAGGGTGCTATGGCAAGGAGTAAACCTAGTCCAAGCAACATTTATTTGTTGTTTTATTGAATATTTGAGGGACAAAATTTAAGAAAAGGAAATACAGTGTTTGGAATTGCTTGTGGTTCCTGATCTTTAAGGTCTTAGAAATTTTTGAGTAGTTTGTGCTTAAGTCTGGTTAGAAAATGAAAATGGGGAGTAATATCAGTTTATAAAAAGCAGTTAGTATTCAATTTTGTTTTTTCCAGTCTTTAGCTTCTCTCTCTCTCTTTCTGTCCTTCCCTCTCTCTCATTGTTAGGTGGGCTTTTTTAGAACTGCTGAGAAAATGGGGTTCCAGTGGCTAAAGATTATGAACAAGGACCCCCGCTTGGATGGGATGGATGACCTGTCTGGGATTGAAATTCCCTTGCACTACATATTTAAGCTGGCATCTCATGCCATTCACCTGGTGGTCTTCTATGAGAGGAGCGGTAATTATCTCTGGCATGGCCCCCTGAGACTCAAGCAACATATGGACAGGAAGTTTGTGCCTTTCCGGAAACTTCACTTTGGTCGCCACCCTGGAGCATATGAAAAGTGAGTTTCAGATAGAGGATGGAAAAACCATAATGTCACTTCCAAAGTAACTTCTTTCTCCTGTATATAAAATTATTGTCTTTCCTAAAGTCAGGTTGTAAAATTTAGCTCATGTATGGTTCAGCCCTCAAAGTGCATGTAAATTAAGATATGAAGGTAAATCCAATCTGTTTACCTGAAAACAAGAGCTTCCCACCATTTATAAATTAAGAACTACATTTCAGAGGAAGTGGCTGTATAGCCATATTGAAGCAGGCAGAAAGAGGAGAGAATTCAAAGAAGTCATGACCGAGGTTGAATGTACCAGAGTGTCTTCTGCTAGAGACAGTGGTTTACCATTAATGTATTTAAAAGTTTGAAGTCTGCTGATAGCTATCTGTGCTATCGAGATTTTACAGGAGTAAAGTACAAGCGGCAAGAGATTTAGTCCTAGCTGGTAAATATTTCATGTTCTTTCTATAATGATATGTATCCGAGAGTTGAATAGGATACATTAAATAAAAAAGGGAAGCAGCAGAAATCCATTCAGTAATAGTCCAAATAATCAGTGTTAAAGAACTTGAATAAAGAGAAGGTGACATTTGTCCCACTGTTTTGACAATCGACAAGGTTAGCACCAAGGACACAGGCACCAAATAAAAAAAAAAAAGTAAACTTATTTTTACTTATGTTTAAAGTGATAAAATAATGAGAAAAATAATACAGTGAAAATGAATTAAAGCAAGATAAGGTAAAGCAGCAAAATAATAAGCAAACTACTATAGCAAGCAGAAAGTAAGGTAATACACCTAATTGTTATTACAGAGTTAGCGATAGTGATTTAGAAAGATACATCACCAATTGCCCTATTAATACGTTACCATCATCCAGATCCGCAGTCGCTGGGGAGCCCGGTTGCAGAGAGGATTTGGAGAACCCTTCCCAGCAATTGGGAAATCTCTATGCAGTGTGTCCACTGTATACATGAGGCTTCCAAATTTCTCTGCAAATGGTCCCCACTTTTATACAGTTAAATAAGCAACTTTATGTCTTAAGCTGCGAAAAACATCTGGTGTAGTTAGTTTTTTTTTCCCCACATTAACTTTTCCTGTGCTTGGCCATAACCCGAAAAAAAAGTTAAGAAGAAGTAAAGGTATCTGGTTATCTTTGATTATGCATCTCTCAACAAAGCCTGTCACCGCCCTGTTACATTCTGTCATGTAGAGGTCTGTTAGTTGGTTTGAGATAGGTGTATGTCTTTTTGGCGAGTGGGGCTACTGTTACACAACTATTATTTTACAAGCAAGCGTTACAGCAATGCTCTATAAGCGTTACAGCAAAAGCTTTTATAAATTGGCATATATTCATAAGGTAATACATTGCATAGGTGATCAATATCGTACATATTAGATATATTGTTAGGTTGTGAGGTTCGTCTTGAGGTCAACTTTGGTTCAGGGCCTCGCTGCTCAGGCCCTAGTGTTTCACGGACAAAGGCATGTGCCAACCATTGCATCTAACCCATACTCTTAATGTGCTGACGGTACTCCTTCTTGCATAAATGTTTGAATTGGTGGTGTTATATGTCCGTAGTCCTATACTTAAACTTTGCATTACATTGGTAAAGTTCCTGTAAATGTCTGCCTTTTCTTGCAGTGCTTTCAATAGCAGTGTTTCAGGAAATACAGATCATGGCAAATCTTGTTACTATTTTCAAAGCCAAGCACTAGGCTTTGAGAACAGGGTTTCTGTAGGGTATTTGTGTATGCTATAAATCAGAGGAAAACATCAAACATATTTCACAGGTCAAAATATATCTGTTTAACTTTTTCCTTAAAATTGACACTATTCTTTCTTCCTTTTAAAACACAGAACCTGTATCAGTTATGTGCTCAAACGTTTGAAGTCGACTGTGTAAGCTGTTAAATATCACATTTCATACATTGTGAAGGCTGAAGAGTTTTTAAATTTTAAATGCAAATAGCCTCAACGTACAGGGTAAAATTCGGTTCTTAAGTGCATCCCATACTTAGACAACTAAATAAATAGCCTGAATTTTGAAATGCACTGAGTAACAGCTCTGAACAAATTTGGTGCATGTCATGAGTCAGTAAAGTAATCGGTGATCTGACAAACTGACTATGAACTTCTAGGCATAGAATTTATTTTTAAATAAAATTTGGAAGTGTATGGGGAATTTGTTGAAGCTCTTGTTGCTCTTCTTTTACAATCAGTTTGGGGTGTATTTGGACAGAGGAGCCGCTGCCAGTAGCATGCATTACGGTTTTAACCTGAGCTAGAGGAAAAAATGGCTTGTGGTTTGTAAAAGAATCGAGTAGGGTAATGTATAATTTTTCTGTCCCTGCAGGCCAGAACTTCTGCTTGTTTCCATTGATGGCTTAGAAGTTCAAATTCCAAAAAATCCATCCAGTTTTCTAAAGGAGATATCATACTCTAGATTTCTTGAATGTAGGTACAGAGAAGCTCGGGCTTTCTTTCAGGTTAGTGGTAATCAGGTAGTGTCTCTAAGACATAATGTATGTTTTTACTGATTGACCCAAACCTACAAACAGTTGGTTGTTTTTTACCTAGATGGGACTGTTCACATACATGAAACTAAATACAGCCTTGAGACTCAATCCGCAGAGTTTAGTATGTGATAGTAAAACTTTAACTGAAAATCATGGTCTGTCTTTTTTACTTGTGGGCGCATTGTTTTCTGTTTTCCAAAACTTTGAAGAGGCAATCAACATGTCCATAGTTCTCAACACATTGTTACTGTTAAACAGATTTCATCTAAATAAGACTAAGATCTTGTGTATCGTTGTGGTTGAAAATTTTCCTTAAGGCAATTCTCTAAGTTATGAGTAATATTTCATTTTCTATTCTCTTGAACCATGTGCTACAGTTCCATATTCCTTATTCCATTGCTTTTTGACCATGTAAGCCAATGTTTTCACCACTATTTAGAGCATTATTTTTAGAATATTGCTACCTGATGTAGCAGACAGTAGAAAAACTTTCTGCTGCATTATGGGGAGCATTTTGTCCTGACTTGAAAAGGGTGGAGATAGAAAGTGGTCAAGAGTTACCACAGTAAGACTGTGAAGTCAGAATCTGGTCAGTGAATTTGAGCCACCTCTGATTTCATGGAAGGCGAAAAAAGAGGACCCTAGAGGTTCCATTCTTCAGACATTTGAGGTCTTGGCTAAGGGACTTCTCAGGGAAGGTAAGACCATCCTTGTTCAGTCTGTTGGGCCGTAGCTCCCCCTTACATGTAGCAGGAGGGTTACGATACTTAAGGGTACCGGTGCGTTGTCACTTCACCTGTAAGGGACAGAAATTGTAAGCATGCTCCACTTCAGCTCTAAAACCTCCAGGCGGTAATTGCCACAAGCAGAGAAAATGTGCCTCGGAAGGTATATTGAACTTTGCTGGAGCTTTAATATTGAAATAAGCAGCTGGCATTTGTTTTGACAAGTATTCATTTCAGCTGTTTCTTGCCCAAGAGCTCTTGGTGAAATCAGTCAGGCAGCTGAGTGGTGCGTTGTTCCTGGGTTTGATTTGGTAATGCTTGCACAGCCTGCCATGTTGGTTTTGCCTTTGCGTTAACAGAAGATCTTGCCACAGTTGTAGCTGGAAGATGGGCATGATATTCTGTTCACGTTTCTACTACGTGGCAGAAGTTGTCAACATTCAGCTGTAACACTTGGTGGCGCCAAATAAGCTAATGTGGTGGAACGAACTGATTCTGTTCCTGTTTTCCTCCTGGACTGTGGGTATTGACTTCAGCCTGTGCAGAAATAGGGTTTATCAGTGTTGTTGCCAAGTTCTGAGAATCAGTGTCTAATACTTATATTCTTATTCTGTTTACTGTGACTTTAAATTCAGCTAGTTTGGAAAAACTGAAGATTGAAGTTTTAGAGTTTAAAATTTTCACTTCTCATTCTAGAGCATGTTCTAAAACTGGGCTGTTTATGTGAAAACAGATACTGCCCAGCTGTTAAGTAAATTTTTTAAGTTTTTTTTTTTCTTAGGACACTGAAAAATGAAGGGACAAGTTTTCTCTCTGACAATACCTTGCTTACTCTTCCTCTGCCTTCCAGCTGTATCCTGATGATGCCTCTCTTGATGCAGTGGACTTCAGAAAAAAAGCAAAATCCTTGCTCCATCTGGCTGCCCTGACACTAAATGAGTTAGGAGTAAAGTTCTGGCTGAGCAGTGGAACATGCCTTGGTAAAACATTTGTGTAATATTGCATTTATAAACTCATCTGAAATTTTAACAATGTCATCCTCTATTGCTTGTGATGTTAGCCAAGGGTGGCAGCTAAATGTACCAAGTTGGAAGGTAATACGTGGCATTAGCTGTATTGAAATCGGCCATTTTGTTCCTGACAAAAGGCTTTTTCTTTAGAAACTTGAGCTGTGGACATTCTGAGCAAATTTGCAATGAAGCATTTAATGTTGCTAGCAATAATCTGTCTTGTGCTGATCACTTCTGAGATAGTAATCAGCAGTTCCCTAAACTGTGTGACTTGGAATTTACTGAAATGCTTCTTGGAAACACAGTGATGGGCACGTATTTATGCTGTCCATGTTGGATCTCCCCTGATTTTTCTTCCCGTGAAATTTGGTGCTTATCACTGACTCTTAAAATATAGTTTACATTTATTTATTTTAAAACACATCCTTTTAATAAAATGTCAGCATATTAGAGTAGGTACTGCAAGTTTTCAATTCTGATGAAGGTGGAAGTAGTATCATCACTGGTGAAGATTCTTTTATTATTGAAATAGGTTTTGAAAACTCATCTGTGTGCACATTCAATTTGTATTTGTTTAGTCCTAAGGAATATAATTTTGTGAATGAACAGTTACTAAAAGCGGCTTTAATGAAACAGACAAAAGGATGTCTTACTTCTTGTCTTAATGTGTTGCAGTGGTGCTTGGAAGATGATTGACATCTCAGATATTATTTAAAACAATAGTTTCAAATTAAAAGCACAGCTGTTCATTGCTGATTAAGTCTGGGCCCAGATAAAGAATATTTTTTCTTTAAAGAATTTAGATTAGAAAACATATTTTGTCTTTGAAAGGGTTAGTGTTTTCTCTTACATTCTTGGCTTTCTGTAGGAAAGAGCTGGCTATAAGTGCAGTAATACTTGTTTTTTTCCATGTGGTTCATTTCATTCTAGAGAAGGTCAGAAGTCTTGTTTATGGCCTCATTCAAAGATCTCGGCCTGGTGACCTTATGGCAATTCATTTATATGTTACTGTTGTTCTATTGATAGATTTCTCTTGTTCCTGAATTAAATAGTTTGTTTTTCTCATTTTTTTTTTACACCCTCCTTAGGCTGGTATAGACAGTGCAATGTCATTCCTCACAGTAAAGATGTGGATTTGGGAGTCTTTATAAGAGACTACAAAGCAGATATCATTCCAGCCTTTCAGAAAGCAGGTTTACCACTGAAGCACAAATTTGGCAAGGTACATAGATAATGAACAATTTGCCTCATGTGTCTTTTTGTAGGTTTGTAAGTTTGAGTGCAGCTGCAGACCATTTATGTAGAAGTGAGTATCTGAAGTCTCCTTGGCAGACATTGACTCATTAGGGTTTCACCTAAACATATAATCTTGTTGATTTTTGTGTGTTCTCTTGGACAGTGTGTGAGAAAACACCTCTTCTAATAGCTTCAGCCCTCTTTGGGGAGTCTGAATTCCACCTCAGAAGCTTTTAAGAAGTTTTAAAGGGGTCTAATCTGTGTCAGTGCTGCTAGAGAAATTAAAGAATCAAGTTAGAATTTAGTCTCTAAGATTGGATAGGCCTCATCATACAGGAGGATTGGTGATAGCTCTGAGGTTGTCTGTAGTCCTGTATGTAAAACTAGCAGAAAGGGAAGGATGGTTTGAGCTGGGCAGTGGGCTTGTTCACTATTAGCTTGTGTGGATCTTTGTTTAGCTTCTTCAGAATGTAAGCTGCAGAATAGTAGAGAGAAGAAACAAAATTACAGGAATATGAAGATTCAGATACAGTTCAAGTGATATATCATTATTGGTGCTAGTGAGTGTTTTATCATAGAGGAAGTATGTAAAATGAAGACACCTACTAATCGTGTTTATTCACTAGGATTATTTTGCTTGTGGCAAAGGGCAAGGAGATGGTGCTGAAGTTTTTGGGGCTAAAGGGAGGAGAGAGAATATAGTCCCACAGAGGCACAGAAAATTTCCAATGTTCTCAAGGCATCAACAGAAAAAAAAAAAAAACATTTGCAGAACTAGTCTATTTCCTTCAGTTAGGATAAGAGTCACTCTACATACCTGACCAAAATAAAATTGTTTTCTGAAACCTGCTGACATAAGTTGCCTTGTATTTTTATGAGTATATATGGTATGTATTTTTGTCTTGCAGGTAGAAGACAGCTTAGAACTCTCTTTCCAGGGAGAAGATGATGTGAAACTTGATATTTTTTTCTTCTATGAAGAGAATGACCACATATGGAATGGAGGAACTCAGGCCAAATCGGGCAAGAAATTTAAGTATGAACTGGATTTGTACCTCTTATTAGTGGAAAAAAATTGAACAAGTTAGTGTTTAGTGTTGGCATTTTGTGTGTTGTATGTTGTTGCCTGGCAAAGTCTGTGCTATTTGTGGGAAAGGCAGTTATCAGAAAAGAATCAGTGAAGATTTTCCACTTTGAGATGAGAGAAGTAGTAAGAGAACAGTACTATGCATATTAGGTATTTGCTGGCCTTGTCTTATGTCAGTTCTCTCATGAAATTGAAAGCAATGTTGGCATGTGATGTATCAAGCAGATCTTATTTGGACTGTGACGAGCTCTGTGTTAGGTAAACAGCTAAGATGAGAAAAAAGTCTCTAAACCTGTGTTTGTTGAACAAACTAATTTTGCAGTAAAAATGAATCCTTAGGCATCTGTCTCGATGGTGGAGCGTTATGGGAGAAAGCCTCAACTGTCCTTGCAAAGGAAGCCTCATAGTTTTGTATTTTGTGGTAATGATTTGGAATGCTTCATTGACTGTAGTGTTGTGACAGCAATGCAGATGACTACTGCAGCCCTTGTTGTTGTTCCTGTTCTGAAAATGGAATTTTAAATAGGATCCCACATTTCTTGCTTCATACATTTCAGTATTAAATTAGCAAATAAGTGCAACAGCTTCCTAATCTACTCAGCAAACTGAATATAGGTTTTGATAGTTTGATTTGTTTCTTTCCATCACCCACCTTAACCCAGAAAGAGACAGTTCCAGACTACCCTGAAAGTCTTGTTGACTTCTGTAGGATTTAACTCTCTTTCATATTTTGCCTGAACTGTTTTTGCTTATATTTAGCTAATGAGAAATTTAGTGAATACTGTCATCCAGATGCTGATAATGTCTGAGTCCTTGTCTTAGTTATGTTTGTTCTGAAATTATAAACAAAGATTGGGGAAGATATTACAATGACTAGAGTCAAAAGGTGCACTTATAAATAGACTGAAGGAAGAGTTCTTGGAATAGTCCCACAGAAAATGTGGTATGTTGTGGAGTGTTTTTCTTAGAATACAGCAACAGTTTTATAGTTTTCCAAAGCAAGCTTAATGTCTGTTTTTCCATACAAGATTTTTGAGGTTTTTGTGTGATGTATTCTGAGGAAGAAGCTGACCAATTAATTCCTGTCCTTTTCTTTGTGCTTCTCTTGTGTCTCAGTTGCAATAGCCGTTTCTGTGCCAGTTATGTTGACGTGTTCTTTCAACATTCCATTGTAACATCAGACCTTGGGTACTTGAGAGCTGGTTTTTTTTCCCCCTTTGATATGATGATAGAAAGTAGATGTGAAACTGTGCTGTGCTCCAGCTCCTGTGTCCTAGGGCGTATTACAGCTCTTTTGGAACTCCAGCTTTCATAAAACACTTTCCTTTTCTTGTAGCCTAGTACTTATTTTTGGTGGTAATGTTTTTTCAAATTTTTCAAACATGGCTTTCTAGTTCAATAAGAACTAATTTGTTTAGACACAGTAGTGTAAGGAAGTCTCTAATTGTGAACTGGTGTTTCTTAGGCATAGTTTACTGTACTTAATCAATACAGAAAAGGAGCAAGAAAACCGCTTGTTTACCATTTTAAAGGTCCCAAGCCCTGATAGAATATTGCTGTTCAGAATGCTTAGCCAAGTAATTACAGATATGTATTATTCCAAATATCCTCTCAGGAAGAGAAGACAGATCACAGCTTTTTACCTGTGAGATGTGATGATTTAGCATGCTTGATCTGAGTGCCTGCAACACCAGAATGACCCTCAATTTTGCTTAGTCTTCATCCCTTTCAAAATTTTGGGGGAAGGTAAAGTGAGGAGGTGAGTCAAAAGAGAAGTGATTCTTTGATCATGCTGAATCCTAAATCCATGTTAACAATTTTAAAGGAATCTCACCAGCTGTTTATGTGGTATCAGAAGAGATATTGGTTGCTAGTAGATTATCTCAGATAAGAGTGGGAGTTCTATTCCAATATATTTATGTTTTTAAAAAGAGTAGAAGGGTAGAAGACATTTTCTTCGGAAAGCTGAAGTATTTCCACAGGCATACTTTCTGTGCATCTTGATAATAAAAGTATGACGAATGAAAGTAATTCTTTAGTCTCTAAAATATTTTTCATTAGTCATTTTTACTCTTTGTTTCCTTGGAGAGCTGGTTTCTAAAACTTACAAGTCTGGCTGTATGGTTTGCCTTTTCATGTACACAAATACTTCCTCAACATTGCAGACATGAGCAAGCATGTGCATCCTTCATATCTTGTCTTGAAGTTACAGCGATTGAGATGTACTATTTGTTTACAAAATTAATGCTAGACAGTTGCATTCTTCAGCAGAGAATAAGTATTTACAAAATCTGGGAATCTAATCTATACTGTAGGCTTTAATCCTTAAAATGAGTTAATTCTGTAGGTTCTTACCATAGAGGACTTTGTGTAAGCATAAAGTCTTTTCAGTACTTTCATGTCCAAAGACTGAGAGAGTGAAATTGGGAAAAAAAAAAAAGGTGAGCAGTGTATATGTACGAGAGTACACAGCCTTATCCCAGCTTGGAATGAGCAAATGATGAGCAAGGATTCCAGCAGCGTGAGGCATCACTGAGAGCTATGTTTTTCATCAGTGAATGTAAATATTTGATTTTAATAATAGTTAAATAATGATTCTGGTGAAATTTCCAACTGACTTTTTAATTTGCAAATTCATTTATTTAAATTATCCACTGGTTCTGCTTAGAAATATTTTTCAGTGTTCACACTCTGAAGAATATATTATTTCAGTGGTTTGCTGGTAGCTTCTGCATATGTGCGCCCCCTGCAGTTCTGATAGATAAATGATATCCTGAGTTAATAACAGCCAGATAGCTATTTGGTGATTATAGATCCACTAATAAAGTTTGTTTACTTTGTTTTCCCCTTGGTAGTTGGCATTTTTGTGCTTTTTGTTTTAGTTTAGAGCTAATCTGTAGTCTCTGGATATATATCCAAGAGTGCTTGATCACTTTTTTCTTTCCCTCCATTTAAGGCAGAAAAGCAAGGTTGTTTTATTTTCTGAAACTGTTTGCCCAGCACTTAGAAATAAAATTAACTTTATGCTTTGAAGAACACATGGGGTTCTAATTCAGGCAAATGCACAAATCTTTTAACTTTTTTCAAAAGGTCTAAGTGGTTATGGTTTCATTTTAACCTGTGAAAAGGAACTGTAAGATCACTTTTTTTTCTGTGTAAGAATTCACAGCTTCAGAAGTGAGAGCAATCCTCTGTAGGAATAGTAGATAGTCTTTGCTATTTACTTGCTTAACACATTGACCCTGACACTGCGCTCCTATAGGATGTCATTCTGATCAAACTGTGAAATTTACCTGTGAACTTCCACTGGTGTAAGCATACTTACAGGTAGGGCTTATGTTGGCCCTTCTACAGAAAAAAGCAGGTACAGAACAAGGTCAGTTTAGTAGAAAAAATTATTTTTAAAATTTGAATGGGCTGAGACAATTTCAGAAAGTACAGAGTGGCAAATATATCTTAATTCTGCTGCTCCAAGTCTGGCACCATGTTTAAACATGGGTACTAAAGAGGAATTCCATAGAATCATAGAATGTTTTGGGTTGGAAAGGACCTCGAAGATCATCAAGTTCCAACCCCCCTGCCATGGGCAGGGACACCCTCCACTAGAGGGATCTCCAACATGTCCAGGTCTTTTTTATGTTTGGGGCCCCACATCTGAACACAGTACTCCAGGTGGGGTCTCATGGGAGCAGAGTAGAGGGGGAGAATCACCTCCTTCAACCTGCTGCTAATGCTTCTTTTGATGCAGCCCAGGACACGGTTGGCCTTCTGGGCTGCAAGCGCACACTGCCAGCTCATGTTCAGCTTCTCATCCACCAATACCCCCAAGTCCTTCCCCTTAGAGCTGTTCTCTATCCACTCTCTGCCCAGCCTGTAT